CTCAAAAATATTTTACCGAAGGAGAAAGAAGACTTGGAAGAGGCAGCGTGGCTAAGAGGAGAACGGCGAGGCGGAGAAGAAGGAGGAAGGACGCACTTCTTTGGGCGCGTACATCCTTGTGTCCAACTCCCGTACAGAAGCCATCCCCTCGCCGTTCTTCAGCCAGCCCCCGGCCAGCGTAAAGCTCCCTCTAAGCCAGTTTCTCGTGTTTCACAATCCCGAGTGAAACAATTGAGTGCATTCACGCCGTCCCCTGGAGAGAGAAAAGGCAAGTGGGCACCACCAGCCCCCGGATAGAAACGTACAGGCCCTGAAAATCCACCGACGAGGGAAGGATAGAGCGGTTCTCGTTCAAAGCGGACAGAACGACGCTTTACCTTCCCCGGTGCGTTTGAATGGAACCGACCGAGCGCGACCCACCTCTCTTTTTCTGCATCTCTGCGACCGCGCTTCCCGAATACGTTTGAGCCATCTCTTATAACGAAACCAACGAGTCGGCGATGACCGATCCTGATCGGTCTGAAATCGATGGCGGAGCCGGCTTCTCGTCTCGAGAAGTCCTTCGCGAGAGTACGTGGAAACGAGAACACAGACTCACACGATTTAGCCTCACATATTCAAGAATCCAAGAGAAACCTGCGAGATGCGCATCTACAACTTATATGGGTTGTCTTAAGAGAAAGCACTCTCCGCGATATCGAAGAAGAAATAAATTTTGTAATAATCTTCCGACTGCATCATATTTTCTTTTTAATGTATATCCAATATATAAATGGATTTGTAGATAAGATAATAAAATTGTTTTAAACATATTCGTATACACTAAAAAGAGAATATGATGTAATCGGAAGATTATTACAAAATTTCTTCCTTCTTGTAGATAAATTAATAAAATTGTTCTCGTTACATAATATACGCTTCACTTATCGAGATATACGTATATTTCTTATTTGAAGCCGTTTTTAGTCCTATAATACAACTTCAGAATTTCGATGGAAATTAATATTTTCTTAATATTTGACAAAAATTGCCAATTTCATAATGTATTGTTATTATCACACACCGTCTTTATATTAATTTATGTGAAATTGCTCAGGAATCGCCGGAGTTTTCTTTGCCACGTCCCCATCGACGTTCATAAAACTAAGAACCAAAAACAATCTTCATCTTTGACTAAACGCAAAACTCCAAGAAGAACGAGGTCGAAACAACGTCCCGGCGTTAATCGGGAAGAAATGTAAACCGAAAGTTCCGGCAGTAATCATCGTAGGAGTCGCCGGACCGCTCCGGAGGCTGCGTCTCGCGCTCGTTATTTCAAGATGGTGCCGTTCTCAGCCGTCACGGGGGAGTCGGTGGAATCCCGGCCAGACGGTCAAACGGTCTCGCCCGCGCTGGCCGTGCCGCTGAACGTGAAATATCCGCGCAGGCGGAAGTTATAAATCACTTGGCGGAGGCGGAGGCAGCGGCGGCGACCCAGAAACAGAGGCGGTAAGGGGATTCCGTCGCCCATTCCGTTGCTCGAGGTCGCTACGTAATTTCATTTTATCTAGAAGTCGGCTATCTAGCCGAAATTCTTCCGTCGCCTATCGGTACACAGCCACATATACACACGGTCTCGCCGGCTACACAACAAGTAATCGCGAGGGTTGTTCTTTCTCATACGTATATAAGTATATACGCGCGAATAACGCGGGGGGGCGAAACAATCGACACGTTCCGCCCCGACTATTTCGCCCCGTCTTCTTATTCGCTTTGTTACGTTCCTCAGACGTAGTGCAAGCGGACCGAAATGCGGGCGTGGATACGCGGGCGTACCTACTTACCCTTTGACGGAGCGAAGTTGACGTCGAGAAGAGCGGGTGGAAGAAGAAAGAAAAGGGGTGGAAACACCCGCATGCGAATCGTGTCTTGCCGTTTCGATTTTAAGTATTGAGCTAGCCCCCCGACAGGCTCGACTGACAGCTTTAAGACGCGGTCCTTCCGCTTGTTCTTATTCTACTGTAGACGCGCGTGCATATATTGATTACTATTGCAGGAAGCAGCTTCAACCGCTGTCTCGCGGATTCAATGATGTAACGCGAAGAATAAACGGGGGGCATTTGATGGACGGAGCGGCGCAATTCTGCGATTCCGCCGACGGAGAGAGCAACGCCGCAAAGAGCAATCCCGCGCGAATGAAGGAAATGCGCCGTGAACGTCTTTGCATTCAAGTATAATCAGAGGGTAATTCATTTACAAGCCGATTTAAATGCGACAAAATGCTCCGCGAAGTGCAGAATTTCTAAAATGTCTTCGGACAGTTATCTCGATTCACAATAAAAGAGAAAGAGAGCGCGCGGGTAAAGCGAATCCGATAGCAAACGGAAATCTCGGGGATAAATGCATACAATAAAAAAGGAAAACAACCACCCTCTACTGTACCATTAAGGTCGTCGCCGAGTGATTTTCTTTGCTGAACGGTAGACAAAGACGCGAAAAGAAATTGCGCGGTTACCTTTGAGATGATGTCTCCTTTTCTATTTATTCTATCGGCTTGAAAAAGAAACCGCTGACATTATTGATTTATTAAAGTAACAAGTCTCGCCGACAGGGCTCTAATTAAAAATTCCCCGACGAAATCCAACAGCGTCGCTTCATTTCATTTAATTTTCTCACTTTTGTAAATTCATCGAAACTTATATAAGTTTTTAAATCTTGCAATCTTTCGATATAAACCGACGCCAATTCTAATAGACAGTTGTCTTCAGTTGTTGCAAATACGAATAGCGAAATTTCAAATTAAATTTAACATAAATAATGAAACTGTTCAATCGATAACTTTATCACTTTTCTCATCTTATTGCGAGCCTGATACTTTTATCTGTAGTAAAAAAATTTATGTATAAAGAGAGATAATGAGATAAATAAATAGCAATGAGAGAAACAAACGATTCTTTTGCACCGTGTTAAATATTTTAAAGAAATTTCGGGTGAAAAATCACATCTCTTGCAATCTTGCGCAAAGTTATATATAACAAAAAAAAACGCGAAAGCTGTTAAAAAATCGCAAAACGGAAACGTTTGGAACTTCAGCGCGGTAGCTCCAAGCTGATGCTGCTCGGTATCGAACATGTTAAAAGTTCTAACATTCGCACCTAGCGCAAACGGCCGATGTAGATAGTTTTGCAGCCCCGAGGCGAGCGTGTTAAAAGTTACTCTCTTACCGCTGCTACAGGAAGTCGATCATCGTTACACCACTAATATCCAGTTTCCGATAAATGACGAGCGACGTTCTTCGCGCACTCGCTCCTCGTTTTTCAATCTTCAACGTGAGTGAAAGTAATTGCGGCTAACGCCAATTAATCTTGTCGATTTAACGAACGTCGATCATCCCTGTCAATACGTAAAAGGTACCAACAACGTGCTAGTGGGGTTTGAAGAACGCGGCTCTTCTAACAGCGCGGGAGAGAAAGTAAACTCGATAATCCTACAAACAAATCAATTTCGCATCGGCCAAACCCTGTCTTATTTGTCCAATCTAGAGATCATAAAACTGATTGCTTTACATATTTGTAAAACGATAAATTCGCTCGCGCGATGGAAACCGTATAGAAAACGGCACGTATGTATATTTATAAATATAGTTCGAGGGAAAAGGGAGCGGAAAGCACGTGAGGTAGGTACGTAAACTCGTATATGCATACGTACGTGTGTCAGAGGTAGGTCTCGGCTCTACTTTACTAGCGTAAAACAAACCTCGCGAAATTGCGAAAGCAAGCAGCTCCATGTCATCTTTGAAACTGACTGCTTGCTACGTGCGACGAAAATTCATACAGAGCGAGTATCCTATAGCCGGGCGCGTCTCTGGCGAATAAGCCAGCGAGGAGAACTCAGGTAGATAGCACGGTGAAACTTCCGGTCAGAAGTTACACCCGTCGCCGGAACTTGGCGGAAACTTACTCTCACCTTGAGAAGCGAAGAGAGAGAGAGAAAGAAAGAAAGAGAACGAGAGAGAGAGAGAATTGAGAGGATGGGCAAAGTAAGAAAGGGAGATTACAGCCCGAGCAACAAAGTGGCCGCGGTTCGATAAATAGTTTACCATAATACGGTTGCTTGATAAATTTGCGTTTGTATCTACCTGCAGCAGTAGGCCGCATCGAACAATTTTACATATCAACTACTCGAAGCATTCGCCCGATAGGCTTGAATTTGTAAATTAATTCTACTACGTCAGTTAAACGATTTCAGGAATTTCTTCATTTTCTTCGAAATGATAGTCTATTTCCGTTGCTTCGAGAATTACCTTTGCAATTTCTGCCGCTTATTAATTTTATCGTTTAATATTAACTCCCCGGTATGCACTTTGAGAAATTAAACTTACTTATTAAAATAATTCTGCACATGCTATATAATTTTCTTGTTGCAACTTAGATATTAATCCGGAAACTTTTTATATATTAATTCTGAAACGTTGCTGTCCCAAAGTTGTATAAAAGCCTAAGTTTCAAGCAAGTTGGAACTTGAATTTAATGACGCCGGATGTAATTTCGAATAATATGCAATTTCGAATATTTCGATATGCAAACTTCTTTTATAAGGTCTTCTTTTTTTATTTTGAGCTCACGTATAATACATGCCGTTATTATGTTAAAAGTAAAGTGAGAACCCAAAGAATCAGTCAATTAATATAACTATTATAACACATGCAGAGCTATATGTGCCTAATTATACATATTAAACTTATCTCATGAACAACTCAGTTTAGCAACTCCGGGATGGTTTCTTAAGTACATAATACGGTATTGTGGCGCTCCAACTTCTGCCTGTGCTCTCTTCTACCTCTATAAATTGTATGCGAGTTCCCTAAGTTAGCATTCTAATAATTTCCCTCACTTTGTGTATCTTGAAAATTCGTGACACGCGATAAAGAGTGGTAATATCCAAGCGCATTAACACTAATTATGAAAAAGACAAATAAGTCGACATTAATCGAGATAATAAAATATGTAAAACACAGCAAGTTTGTGTGTGTGTGTGATATCGATTTTTATTCAACCGTACATGATACTCTGATAACATTTCTTTTCATTCAACAATTACCTACGACATGAATACGCGTTGGCATTTTCAACGCACTTGTCTTAATTCTAAATTTTGTATCGTTTAAAGTAGCATCTTTAACGAATGAAACGTAACTGTACAACATTTGCAACTCGCAGTTAGTTTAATATATATATTTATATGATTTAAAAATACATTCAACATTCAGTAATATTGTTATCACTAATATATCACTTTTGTATTCATTTTTTTTTTTTTTCAAGAATTTATTATTTAGCATGATTGTTAGGATCCCTGATATAATTATCCAAAATTTCTTTTCGCTATTTACGTTATCAAAATATTAATACGAAATTTTCAATTAGCCTGTGCTCAATTTGGTATTAATATTTCTCAAGATAGCGAGATGAGTGGAAACTTCGTATATAAACTGCACAGTTAAGATTGATTATACCCTCTCCATAGCACGCATAATTCTATAAGCTCACCTGCTTATTTACGCTCTCAGCAGCTCATCTCGTAAAGTAAAGCAATTGAAAGCGCTAAGTCACAATTAATGACATAATAAAAATACATAATTTTTCATGATAACATTTGTTAAATGTAGAGGGTTTCTACAAACATCGAACGCTCTTTCAAGTTTTATAAAAAATTTGATTTTAATACTTTTTGAGCGAAAATTATGAAAGAATTTTGTGAAGAACAATCAATTGCTATACTTTTTCATTTTCAGTTAGAGATTTATAATCTTAAATTGGATTCTTAATCATCTTAAATAAAAATTTGATTAAAATTAAGTGATTATCTATTTGCATTGTTGAGACTTATATGTCAAAGTTAATTTTCCATTTTTAGTTAATTCTCAAAAAACTTATACTTTTGCTCGTAGTATTACTTGTAATTTTGTAATTACACCTTTTGTGTGTAATTTTATCTCATTATAATTATAGTATATGCATAGTATACATTTATATATGTATATAATTCGTATAATACTTACAATTACTAAATATTCTCTCATCTCATAACTCTCTTTTAACATTAGTAGCATTTGTTTCGTATAGTATACTGAGGCATTAAAGATTATTCACAACACAATGACTTATAGTTTTATTCATATAAATATCACAAGAGATTAGTTTGCCGGTATACGCGCGTTATATGATATCCCAGTTATGCTCAATATATTAATCGCTTACGACTAAATATATATCAATTCTGATTGATTATACGAGTATAATAACGTCATCAAAAATATGTTACATACAGTCAAAAGTGATTCACTTTAACTTCCAAAATTTCTGTTGCGATATAAATCGCATATCACACTGTTAGCAAGTAAGAAAAGATTGACTTATTGAACACCTTGTGCGTATAATAATAGTGATAGAAAAGGTCAGCAGTTTATCGCAGGGTAAAAGACACTTTTAAGTGACGTTATAATTCGGTGAACATCGTCACTCGAGAACAAGCAACATTGGAAGACGATAGCTGTATAAAAAGAATTTTATAAGGCAAGGTAGCTCGTTAAAGAAAACAATAGAGAGTTGTCCGCAGAAGACAGTATTCAACGTTATTATTGTATATAATCGAGAGTTCATTGGCAGATGCATTGAAGTGATGTTTTTACTCGATAATAAGCGACGATGGAAGACATTTAATATGTGCAGAATAACAAGAATGGATGTCAATATATATTTTCCCGTAAAACTCGCGGGATAGCCATGTTGTAGAAATATATTTATCGTTATTATATAGAAATATATATTAAGCTTACTCTTAACATGTTCGTCGCGCTGTTATTACTAAAATACATGCAAAATTTCAGAGTCAAAACAAGCTGAAATATTAAACTTGAAATATTAACCTAACCTGAGCCAATATTAGGCAGAGCTGTAAAATATATTGCAATTGAGACAATTTAACTAGTCTAGTATATAAATGACATAAAATAATAGAACATTTTATTACTGTACTTTCTTGTAGATATTACTCATAATGAGATTCATATAATACTGAGATGTGGATTATTGTCAATTAAATAATTAAATTAAATACTTCTTTATCATTTTCATTTAAAAATTTTCCTTTAGTCGATTCTTTCCCTTTCAATTATTACTTATTCCATTTAAACTTTCTTACAAACGTATGAGACAGATGGTAAACGCAAAATTAATGAACGGAATTACCCTCCGATGTTCTGATCTTGCAACGAACATGCTAATTGAAAGAGTTTATGACGAGATTGACATTTGCTTCACACATTGAAGACGCCAGTTTCGTAATACGCTCTTTCTTTTGATTTCGACAGACAGAATGTAGTTTGGATAACTACATGTACCGGCACTGTCAGCAGTAACAGGAACTCCTGGGTGGTGGAGTATCGCGCTCGTGACATCTTAGAACTTTTTGATGTGGTAACGGCGACTTATCCACCGTAGCCTCCATTCTGCGCATTACGCGGTCCAATAAAATTTCTACGGCACGCTCGATATTCTGCCCGGTTGCAGCACTTGTCTCCAGGTAAACCAAGCTGAAAAAGGGGCACAACAACGCGATCAGAAATTAGAGATCATAGATTGAAAACAAACATAATATTTCTCTTTTTAATGACGTTATAGATATTGTTTTATTATTTCTGACTTACCCGTGTCTTTCTGCAAGATCCCGCGCTTTGTGTTCGCTGATGACGCGTTTATCCTCAAGATCGCATTTATTGCCACAGAGAATTATGTCTGGATCATCACAATATGCGTGTGTCTACACGTATATATATACAAAAATATAATATGTTAATTCAATAAATACGAAAATCACCCGAGAAAATTATACTAAATTAAAGTAAAATTTTCAAAACGAGATGTGTTATTAAATTTTGTAATTATATTTGAACACACATTTAATCTGAACGTTCAGATTAAAAATAAAATTTTTAATTGATTTAATTGATTTGATTTTAGTTAATGATTTTAATTCAAAAGTTAATTTCCTGTATTCGCTAATAAAACTGTTATTAAACATTTATTTTAATTTTTAAATCGAACGATAGCTTGAGTCATAAAATATAGGAAAAATATATGCTATATCTATTCTAAATATACATTCTAAATATATAGTCTAAATATATACACATACTATTATAATCAACGAGCAATAGTATCGATCAATACTTAATTAAAGCATCGCGGAAGAATTTCCGTGCCGCAAAAGAATTTAATTTCCATAAAATGTTATATTACATAAAGAATTAGAAATATAATCATGCAAAATAATACATGCGAAAAACGTAAAAAATTCTTTACAAATTCTTAGATATATTATTGCATAATTTGATTACTTGTTCTTTTACATTTGTCTTTTTTGCTTGTTATTATTAATATAAAAATGTAATTTTATAATCTATATAATTTTATATTATTCTCATATTTCTAATATCTCTCATATTCTAACGCATCAAACAATAAATGTCATATTCGTTTAAATAAATTGTACATTAGTAGGTAATCTTCAATAGCCAATTCTATCTACATGCTACATCACCATGCATCAAATATTAGATTAGTAAGTATAACATTTCAGTATCATGTTAATACAAATACTATATGCAGCTGACGGTAATTTAAAAAATAGAAGAATTTAAATTTACTCAAAAAATCGTTCGATTAAAATCCATGCACGATTCTGCCAACGTGCGACATTTATAATAATGCTATTAAATGACGAATACCCTAAGCTGCTCCAGCCAGTTTCTAACTTCGAGAAACGATGATTCATTGGTCAGGTCAAAAATTAGTAGGAAACCCATGGAATCCCGGTAAAAGGCTGTGGTTAGACTTCTGAACCTAGATATTAACAACGTTAAGCTACTTGCGTGGAATGTTAGATTGGAAGTCTTAAGCCTCTGTTTGCGCATGCAGGATACATCATACATATTGATTAGATGATTAGAACACCTCACATATCGTGTAAATTTATGCTCGAATCTTTCGGATCTTTGCAACAATTTATCCTACACAATTTAGTAAATGCAAACTTTCACAGACGTAGTTAAATTGAGATATTACAATGCAGAATATAATAACAGAATAGTATCGCAGGTCTATATTATCTCCATCGTATAAGTGCAAGTATATCTCACTCGCTTGCCAAAATTTAATGCCAATTTGTCAAAGAGTGCAGCAAATGCATGTTAACTATTGTACATTGCTCCTGCCGCAAAACTGCGTTCACAAACTCCTCTAGCATTATTTACCTTTCTTGACCGGCCGTGTCCCAGAGCTGCAAGTGCACTCGTTGGGTTCTGCCATTTGCCGTTTGATATATCTGTAATAAAACAAATAGCCATTACTTCTCGATGCACCAAGGGAACATTCTTATCATCTGTCACTGCTGAAACCTGATATATATATATATATAACACACAAGCGTGACTAATCCATATCCCATACTTTTCACTTACAATTAGCTTGCGTGGGATCATTAATTATTCCAAGCCTGTCATCGCAGCTCTGTCTCCTCAAAGAGGCACGCAACAGACCCTCTCAAAAATATGCAGGCTTGAAACAATCAACGCTACCACCCAAGAGGTTGCCTCGCTCGTTCTCTCACCACTCGTTTCTCCTTGAAGTCGATTCCAACGGTGGAAATGAATCTGGAGTTGAACGTGCCGTCGGTGTACTGATAGAGGAAGCTCGTCTTGCCGACCCCGGAGTTGCCGAGCGCCAGGAACTTCACCAGGTAGTCGTAATTCATTTTGTCGCAAGCGCCTCAGTCGAGGATGTCCCGGAGAAGATTGTCCAGCCGGGGCGATCGCGCGTCTGCCGTCGCCGACTTGTCGTCTGTCGTGCTGTCAACCGTCGGGAGCGCGCGGCGGTCAACGTGGACACCTGTTGCCTACGTGTGCCACTTTCGAAAGGTAATCCGCGTTAAAGGTTAACGCGGCACGCCGCCGAGCTGCGCCGAGCGGACCGGCCGATCGTCGTCCGAGAACTCAATCACTCGCGCCCGTGTCTCCACTCTCCACGCGACTTGACCTGACGCGTGTTAAAGGCGTGACGGGTGACGGCAGACGACAAGCAGGTCCACGCGGAAAGAAATGGCGCCGACGGCCGTTGCAGGGCTGCCACAAGTGTTACATCCTGGGCCGGGACCGTCGAAACCCCCTGTACATACACTACCGCCAATACATCCATTTTCGACATTGGTACTACGTAACCACGTTCATTTTCCGACACTGCCGATAAAACATCATCTAGTGCGCGTCCGCGCTACATCTGCAAATGTAATGGTGTTATACATATAATACCACTTAATACATATTATAATATTAAGTTATACATATAATAACTATATTATTAAATTACTCCTTATAAGATTAAATTACTCTTTTTCTTCTAACTATTATTTTCAAATCAAATGGTGAAATATAAAGAGGCTTAAGAATAAACAAAAAAATACTCTTACACAAAATAAAAAATAATATTTTATTTACCACAAAGTTGTTCCGCTGGCGCCCGATGCCTCTCCCAGGCCTCCTCTTCCTCCTCGCAGGCTGTGCTCTCGGGTTGTCAGCTGCGACACTTTGCGCGTCGTTATCTCCTGAAGCATTTAAATAGATAATTTGATATTAAATAATTTTTAAGCGCATCAAACTTTTTATTTGTCACTCAATTAGATGTTCATTTAAATAATTATTTATTTAAATAATTCCCACTATACGCGTCGCGCGTCGCGTCACGACGCCGCGTCATGAGTTATCCAATCAAAACGTTTCATTTTATGACGTCATTTCCGACAAGTTGTCGGAAAGCAGAAAAGTCAATCAGCAATCTATATAGGCGCGCGCTATATAAATTGACCTATTACGATTGGTGGAAATATAAATCACTAGCATGAAACTTTCACTTCTATATATTTTTATGTTTCCGGACGTTGCTAATGTTGCTTCCGCCTTCTTCTTGCGAGACTTTATTGTATTTCCGTTGAACGTGCAAAGCAGCGACCTATGCGTAATAAATCAGTTGAAAAGTCGAAATATCCTCGATTATTCTGCACCATCAGTGAGAATAGTAGTAGTGTAGCACCGGTGATAATTGAAGAATTGGACGAAAGTGCCATCAGCTCAATAGATATGGATATAAATGAGTTTGTCGAGGATACGTCGCTA